TTCCTTTTTTTCAAATTAGTTGATTTTATATTTTGACTATTTGTCACAATTATCCAACAATTATTACGTAACAATTTGCTGCCTTGAAGCATAAAGTCTGAAACCACAACAGCAGAACTACAGGAAGGATTTATTGACCAATATATTTATAATCTGCTTTAAACAACCCAAACTGCTGGTTTATTTCTCTGCTTTTAAAAGGAAATATTCTATGTTTAATGTTCAAAATACCCCAAAAACCCCTATAAATAAGAATGATTCATCCTGTCCGACAGACTTTTCTCGCTGTCAGGGTGGAAAAGCCTCTCAGGCAGCGCTCTGATCATCACGTCGCACTGAGGCTCTCCACTGAAAGCCGTACTAATGCCATTATTTTCGGTGAGTTAGCAGCTCTCCTGCGCAGGTTTTTTACCCACTGACATCTTCTAATTTGGTCGAATTAAATCTTTCCACACCAACGTGGAGTAATCCAGCCTGGCAGACGTGACAAATGTAAGTCAACTAATACCTACGCCATTATTTTATAAAAACACAAACATCTGTCTTCTCGACCTGGAAACTGACAGTTTGTGAGTGATCGACCTGCAGGGAGCTTCATGCAACACCGTTCCTGCGACTGACGTTTTCAGCCAGAGAGACGAGAGTGAGAAACTCGCTCTGCTGCTGTAACCGGGCAGAATCTGTGATATCCATCTCTCATCCATCGCCACACTCTCTCTCTCTCTCTCTCCCTTCTCACTTTCACCCTCCTGCTCTCCCTCAACACTCCTTCTTTAATACTGGGCTTTAATACTGCATTACACTCAGAAGTGATCAGATTTTGATACGAAACATGTTTAAAGAGCTTTTCAGACATATAACACGTAACGTTAAACAAAAAGGCTTTTTTGGAAACCTTATAAATGTTCGTTACAGACGCTGAAGAGAGTTCAAAGTAAATATATCGAGGAGCGTTTTCTGTTCTCTCGCAGGCGCCAGCGTCGGGTGTTAAAAAAAACTCTGCTGTTAAAAGACTTAATGACCAATGTGAAAGCGAGGGATGCTCGCCGTCGCTTCTTACAGTGAATCCACTAATACATTTTCACATCAGTGTCACCATTTAGCGTAATTAGGAAGCAAATTCTGCAAATCCAACAAACGTAGAATGACAAGATGTTGACTTGGGACTTTAATTCCCAAGTTTTTTGCTGGAAATTGCAAATGCAGAGAGGCAGTGATTGTGTGATTCTTATTATGGTGTAAAAGAGAAATATAATTAGCACAGACTGAGCTGACGTGAGAAGAATCCACGTTTAAAAAGCCAAAACTAAACGATTAATCCCATTATCGATTAATCTGTCAAATAAAATCCTAAAAGTGACGTCTTTCAAAAGTCTAAAACCCAAACTCTCTTCATAGAAGACAAATAAAACCTGCAATAATTCACCTTTGACAGGCTGGAAGTCGGAAATTTGGGATTACTGGTTAAAGAAATTACTTATTGATATAATTAGTTTCAGCTGTAAAACTCATTGAGTGTTTCCTCTGATAGATTAGAATGAATACATTTATTACAACGCTCTTAATAAGACACTTAATCTGTGTGTTATGTTAATCTGACAGTATTTGTTATAGAAATGCTCCCAGGTTTGATTTTATAAGATTAACATTGTGACTTCTTTACGTAAAAAAGTCACATATGTGCTGTTTTTCCAGGTATTACTCACATCCTTCCTGAAGTCACACTGGTTCAAAGCATTTTCCTGCGTGATACAACCCCCCCTTCCTAAAATATGTTGTTTTCTCATCTGGGAGAAGGTTTACGTGGAAGTTTTAAATGCATTATTTAGGATTCGGGGATTCCTCGGCGAGATGAAGACATCTCTTCGCCCCACACACCGACTGGGTGACTGGGACTTCGCACCGACACGTGCACTGACAGCCAACCTCAGCTGCTCTTACGTAACAACTCCCCCCTCGTTCACAGCTTTCATCCAGGGCCCGACGGGGAGGCTTCTCTCTCTCTTCCTCTCCCTCCCTCTTTCTTCCCCCTCTCTTTCCTTCCTCGCATGCAGCAGCACAGCTCGTGTTTATTTATTTATCGTCACATTTCATCTTTTTCTTCTAAAAGCTCTTCAGCGATGAAATAATGAGACCGGCTCCGTGACCCCCACGGCTAACATTTAACGCCTCAGACATTTTCTTAACAAAACAAAAACCATACAGAGTTTTTAACTGTAATAAATGGAGAATGTTTTGATGTCTGCACTTTTCTGATTACACAGAGGCCCAACGGTCATGAAGCTTCATTTAAACTTAAATGACCAAACAAACTTTCCTCTGAAGGATTTTACCAGCAACATCAGCAGTAATCCGAGGACCGGTAGTCCTTTTATTGTGTGTTGTTGTTTTACCTATTCTCTTCTGGTCCGTGATGTCCAGCTCTGGTTCAGTGTAAGGCTTGAGCTCGTCCTCTTCAAATCCTGCGTTGATCCATCGATCCTTCATGATTTGCTGCAAAAGCAAAAAACGAGACAATTAGAGCCCGACTGAAACTGGATTCTTGAGGCCGATATCGGTATCTTATATTGGCCAGAATACGTTTTTATGTTAACGAATACATGCAGAAACATTTGAATTAAGGCGGCTGATTAAAGCTGGTGTCCATAATGTTTTCTGGTTACTGGACTTTTTAGGTGAATACCGATACCTTTGAGAGGATAAACAACTCAATAAGAACATATCGCCTGAGATAACATTTTTACACAAACATACAAACTATTTTTATAAGGATTCCTCAAATTTGAAAAGAAAAACTAATGTTCTCCGGTGCACAATTAACTACCTAACTAACAGTGACAGAGTCTATGGTCAATTCTTTGCTGCAATGTCATTTTTAAACTCTTAGATAATTAAGCATGAACTCAACCGGTAGAATTATAGTTTAGACTTTAGTTCAGCGTCGGATTTCATGTGTTATCACCCCTCCAACACTTGAAGGATGTATTACATGTGACTAGACTGTACTGAGCTTTAAATTATACTTATAGTAACTGTGGTTAACCAGGGTGAGAAGCACAAGCAGCCCAAGCCGACCAATCACAGGCTTCCTCCGTAACCACCGTAGCTTTGACGTAAAGTTAAATTTATGAAGTTGCAGCAAACGACCTTTTTCAGGAATATCTATTTTAGTATTTCTGTGTGCTTCCAGGGTTCAGTAAAGTATTCCTCTATTTGAATTTAGAGTTAATTTTAAGCATAACATGACAAACAGCAGCACTTTAGAGAAACAGGCAGAGGAGAGAACGGCACATATTGCGTGAGGCATCATTGTGCCATTTCGCAGTAACGTCCATATTGTGCTGCATCTCATTTGTTCGCACCTTTATTTTTAATTTGCAGCTGATCAATTGCTCTCTGGCTAGAGCCAAATTAATTATCACGGATCACGCTCTGATGTAACCGGAGTATTATGCCATAATCATCATGGGGCATCTGAGGCCAACACATGTGACCCTCGCAGTCGAGCCAGCAGCATTGTTTTTATTCACTTACGTTCAGCTCGACATCAAAACAACAAGCAATAAAACTGATTCATTCTCTTGAAAGCACCATAAATCTGCCTTTTAAACCTGCTCCAGTTTCGAGCCAACGCGCCAAAAATACTCTTGAAAAGAACGGATGTTTTATATGTTAATGATATAGTGCTGGGTGTCAGGTGGGGCTGCGTGATTACAGCTAAAACAGATGATCATTAACACTCTTCTGACGGCGTTATCTCCACTCTGATTGATCTGTGGAACAATTCTCTCTCCTCCGCCTTCCTGCTGCTGACATCAAACACGACTATTTTAATCTCAGCTGATGCTCCAAGTGAACCTGAAACGTCTAAATATTTCTACTATTATCAGATTATGAATCGTGGAAAAAAAATGAATGATAGTGATTTGCAGTTTAAAATGTTTAACTTGTATCCGTCAGGACTTTACAACACAATAAGACTTTCAATAGACTTTTTTAAGAGACACTTTATAGCTATTATTAGTTAACTTCACTAACTTTGATTCCTACTACATTTCAGAGGGACATATTTTACTTTTTACTCAATTAAAATCTATTTAACAGCCACAGTTACCTCTTACTCTTTAGTCTGCTTCTAAAATACGACACTAAGCAACATAAATCAGTTAAAATTACATCCACATTGACCAAATACAACATTAAAATGCTGCTCACAGGTTAATGCAATCAATAAGAATAATGTTTGAACGATTATCATTCAAATACGCACGAGGGCCATTTTGCAAGCTTTTACTTTTGATAGTGAAAGTCTTATTTTGTTAATAATACTTTGAATTACTAGTAAAAACGTCTTCCTTTGATTCAGCAGAAACTTTTACATCTTTGTTGAAGTGAAAAAACAACTTAATTCAGTTTTGTTTGCACTTCTGTACAGAAATCATCTATAGTTTAATTTTATTTTGGTTCTGGCTTTGATGTGAGATTTAATCTGCACCGGTCTTGAATAAACCCTCTTTAAAATGAGGTTTAATACTTCACATTAATAACTGTTCTTTCCACTCGGCTCGACTAAAGCTGGTTTTTACGTGCTGCCTTTAACGCTGCACGCTGTCTCAACTTCGTAGACGAAGTCAGGAAAGAAAGACAATTTTGGGTACAAACAGGAGAATGACGATGCATTATTCATGGTTACAACATCAGAAAGAAGGACGAGAGTGTGGGCCGGGCACACACATAAAACAGGACACCGTGGGTGTCAGAGAAGATGATGCAGGAGGGGGGGGGGGAGATGCAGGAACCGAGAAGGGGGGAGGAGGG